GTGGGGCCAACCTGTCTTCCTGTGGCAGGGAGTTCCAAAGTTTGGGAGCAGTGACAGAGAAGGCCTTCTCCCATGTCCCTACCAAGCACATCTGTGAGGGTGGTGGGATCAAGAGAAAGGCCTCCTCTAATGGTCTTAATGCCCAGGCAGTCTCATAGAGGGAGTTGTAGCTTTTAGATAGACTCAAATTGTTTAGGGCTTTATACAATCAAGACTACAATTTCCAGAATCTCCAAGTTGGCCAAAAATTATCGCTCCCAAGATCTGAGTTAGACCATCTACCTACCCTAGCATTGTCCACCCTGACTGGTAACTATTCACCAGGGCCTCCGGCAGATAAACAGCCCCATCTCCTGCTTCCCAAAATTCTTTTAAATGGCTTGGATTGAATACCAAGATGCCAAGCGTTATTTCAACCCCATCGTCACTTTCACAATTTGTGCAAAACATCTCCGCAGATTGAGCATCATTTCTCACTGTGACACTGAGCATACAGAGCGCAAAGCCAACAGGATGGCCGATGGATCAGAAAGACACAAATAACCCATCCTCGGCTACTGCTTTTGCATGTCTGTGCATCAAGGCACCGATTCTTGCTTTTACAGAAATACACAACCACGCATGCAACAAAAGTCTTACAATCGTTCATAGTTCTGTGAAAGGCGTTGTGAAATCATGCCATCTTGGGTTTAAGAAGTCCTTACCAAGCACACCTGTAAGAATGGTAAGACCAAGAGAAAGACCTCCCGGATGATGTCTTGTTTACCATGCATGGATGAAACAAGTCAATGTTGTGTCAAGTCAACAAGACAATGTATTTTCAGCATGTCTCTATTTCTCCCTGAAATCTTGACTGACAAGCATAAGCCCATCTCTGATCCCCTCTGTGACAGCATCTTTCTGTTCCTTCACCTGCCTTTACTTATCTTCCTCTCGACTCACCTGTCCTCCCACCCAGTAGCAGGGCAGCGTCGTTGGGAACGTGTTTCCAGCAAACAGTTGATTCTCGGTGCTTGTTCTCAGTCCTCCTGGGAAGCTGACATAGCTGTGCAAGAGCACAGGTTGGATCCTCGTCTGGCTGCAAGAGAATTCAAGGGGAAGGTATGAGACTGCTAAGAAGCAAACACAGAGAAGGAAAGAACAAAAAAGAGAGAGAAATGGGATCTTTTGATATACAAGTGGTGCCTTGCTTTACGATTGCCCCGCATTACGATGAAACCACATTATGACGATCTTTTTGTGATCGCAATTGTGATCGCAAAACGATGGTCTGAATGGGGTTTTGTCGCTTTGCGATGATCGGTTCCCTGCTTCGGGAACTGATTCTTCGCAAAATGATGATTTTAGAACAGTTGATTGGTGGTTTCAAAATGGCCACCGGGTAAATAAAATGGCTCCCCGCTGTTTTCTGGGACGGATTCCTCGCTGCACAGCCACCGAAAATGGCCGCACTATGGAGGATCTTCACTGGACTGTGAGTTTCTAGCCCAATGGAACGCATTAAACAGGTTTTAATGCATTTCAATGGGCTTTTTATTTTCGCATTACGACGTTTTCGTTCTACAGCTATTTCGTTGGAACAAATTAACATCATAATGTGAGGCACCACTGTATGTGTGTGGTGGAAGAAGTCACTCAGCATAGACTAAGCCCAGTTTAGAGCGAATGTTTGGAACTGCTTACTAGGAATGCAATTTCTGCAACAATGGATCAGATGGCTTCTAAATGTCAGCAGCATTGGAGAGGGTTACCTGAACTTGCTAGCGACTATAACACCTGCCGAGAAGCTCAGAGCTGATATATATTATGAGTAATTTGTAACTGATTCCTTTTTCCAATAACTGAGGGCTGCTCCAGGCAGAACACTTGCCATCGTTGATGCATTGTGTTCCGACTGTTTTTCCCACCATCCGCATGACGTTCACTTTGCCTTCCTTAGTACAGTGACTTTTCTTGTGACTTTCCACAGTTTGTCTCTCTGAGGAGCACCGTTTAATTTTAATGTTGTTTTGCTTAGGAGGTTTAGCACGGTGGTGCTTCCCGTGTGAAGCTGGAAGCTTTCAACTAGCACTCAAACAAAGCAAAAAGTTCCAGAAGAGAGTAATTTTAGGCGAGAAGAATCCCAGGATAGGAAAATCATGTGTCTCACTTGAGAAAACACGAGAGCTTGGAACTTTTTAATAAATGAATTTGTTATAATACTCATTACTACAAAGCAGCTAGGTTATCATGACGATGTGGTTAGCGGCAGGATGATAAATAGAGAAAACCCTCTGGTTCCCTCTACTGGCTGATTCTGATATTGCATCTTGGAAATGAAACAAAATTTGAAACAAAAGAGTACATCCGTTGCTAGTTAGGATTGAGAGGACAATGACATAAAACCTGGAATGTCTATCATATGACTGTAAAAATGCTTATAAATACCTTTTTAAAAAACCTTGTGAAAGTAACTAGGAAACATTACTCATGAAACCGAAAGGGACTCTGCGTTACATTGCTTTTCACGTTTGACTTACCTTAACCCTTGGTATCCCAAAACTAGTCACAAGTCATGAGATTGATCTAATTTGTTACAAGTAACTATATTATTCCAACTAGTTACAAGTATCTGCATTAATCTAACTAGTTACAAGTAATTACCTAGCTGCCTAGCTCCTTCAAGACCTTAAGGAGCACCTCTGAAAAAACACCGTAAATGTATCAGCTAGTTTGACACCCAGCTGTACATGACACTGCTCACTAAAATGGGGCTCCCTTCACTTCACCACAGTACATCTACAAACTACAGTGGTGCCCCGCATAGCGATGTTAATCTGTTCCGCTATGCAAAAACATCGCTAAACGGATCGAAAAACCCCATAGGAACGCATTAAACTTAGTTTAATGCGTTCCTGTGGGGCCCAAACTCACTGTTCAGCGAAGTCCCTCCATAGCGCCGCCATTTTCGCGCCCTCGGTAAGCGAGGGCAGGGCGCGAAAACACTTGCGGCGGCCAATTTGGGCACTCGGCGGCCATTTTGGAACCACCGATCAGCTGTTCTGTAAACATCGCAATGCGAAGATCGGTAAGTGAAACACTTACCGATCATCAAAATGCGAGTTTTTGCCTATCTAAACATCGCAATGCAATCACAAAAGCGACATCGCTATGCAGATTCGTCGTTAAACGGTGCGCTCATTAAGCGAGGCACCACTGTATGTTGTTGCAATGCAGTCTGTTTCCTTTTAATATCAATTAAGGGTGCATCACATCCCTGCGCCCTGCACATCGCTTCCTCTCTTGCTCTCAGACCTCCTTGGCCTGCCTCCTGTCATTACCAATTCAGGTTCTCCTGTGCCTCCATCTGGCACTGAGCTCCTGGCAACAAGCTCCTTTTGATCCCTGGCCACGAAGCACATGGCAAAGCCCCACTAATCTCTGGGGGCGCTTCCAAACTTGCAGGGCAAGGGGGGAAACCTTGGCCTTCAAACAACGCTCCTTCCTTCCCTTTCTTTTTAAAAAGCCACCGGCTGGCTGGAGTTCCCGTCAGCGAAGATGCCCCGTTCAATCTTTACAGCTTTGCTCCCTATATAGGGGGGTGGTTTTATGAGAAGGTTTACAAGATCGAGTCTGGTTAAGCCAGATGTCGTATCCCCTCCTTAAATCTCTCCCTTTCCACAGCTTTCATATTCCGTTCTGGCTGTGAATCATTTCTGAGGCATAAAGGATCGGGTAGTATCACGCCAGAGGAAAGGCGCCATATAAAAACGAGGAGCAAGGTCGGGTAGTATCACGCCAGACGAAAGGCGCCATATAAAAACGAGGAGCAAGGTCTGGCGATACCGGAGGGCTAACTCTTGGGTATCCAAAGATATTGTGGACTAAGGTTGGAATGAATTTTTCAGGGGTGGTGTGTGTGTGTCTGTGTATGTCTGTATAATTAAGAACAATGTCATCGAGACGCCCCAGAGAAAAAGTTAGTCATCCACAGTGAGATTTTGTTTCAGTCCTGCTAAAAAAAATAACAAGCACTTTTCCAGCAACACCAGCATTCACAGAAAAGGTGGTGTTTTCATAACATTGCACCCTTGGTACTTTGCACAAAATTTGAGAGTTTTTTTTTAAATGCAAAATGCAAGATTTTGTGGAATATGCAGGGCTTTTGTGCAAAACACACGTTTGTGAACCTTGTTAGCTGGAAAGTCCTGGATGAATCTTAGCATCTCAACCATTGGCGATTAAACCATTGTTCGCTTATACTCCAGAAAACATTGTGCTGTTGATGTTACGGTGGGGCGGCTGCCGTGTGCAGCGGTTAGAATGACTCAGGAGAATAAGGTCATGTCCCCACTGAATCATGGAACTGACTAGGTTGCTTGTGGTCAGTTGTTCTCTCCACGTGGCTTACCTCACAAGGTTGTTGTGAAGATACAGTTGGGAGGAGGAGACTTGAGAGGCCTTCCAGCACAACCCTGCCTGATTTTTCTGCCTCGTGCACTGCCTTATATTTCAAGATTACAGCTCTTGAAGTATCTTGATCTGTGGATGGGTTTTGTTTTGAATGTCCTCTCTGTGGTTGTTACCATGCTACAAACTGCCCAGAATGGTGCTTTGAACTATTGGGGCTGAATACAAATGAATGAATGAATGAATGAATGAATGAATGAATGAATGAATGAATGAATGAAATTAAAAGGAATCAATTAATATTTAATTAATTAATTAAAAGGAATGAATGAATGAATGAATGAATGAATGAATGAATGAATGAATGAATGAAAAAGGAATGGATGGATGGATGGATGGATGGATGGATTAAAATGAATGAATGAATGAATGAATGAATGAATGAATGAATGAGGCATACTGCTGTAGATTCACTGGAGAAAAGGCATTATATCAATGCAACAGATAAAGAAACAAGAACAATAATGATTGCAACAAAGATAATAGTTTTGCCCATCGCAAACTGTTTTCTCTCTCCTCCCTCCCCTCCTGTCTCGCCCTTCTCCAGTGCGGGATCACCTCCTTCTGAGATCCTGCAGATTGATTTTGAAATCGAAGATCTGAGTGAATTGCCGGGGACCCAGCTAATTACATGGCAAGTGGAATATCCCGGAGACCGGACATCTGATCTCGGCATTTCCAAGATATACGTAAGCCAGAAGGAGCTGATTGGCGTTCTTCCTTTGGCAATGGTAAGAGCTCTGTACGGATGGATACGTTTTTTGTTTTGATTACGGTAGAACCTCTGTATCCGCGGGAATCAAGATCCACAAACGTTCAGGCTTCATAGTCATGAAGCTATGGTGGAGGTAAATATATACTGATTTGTTTTATGATTTGTATTTATTGGATGGACAGATGATGGATGGATAGACAGACAGACATGTTCATTCAGGTATGAAACATAACCATGTTTACCTATGAATAATTATGAAGACTGGGTGGTTGGCAAGTGACGGGCAATTAATTGTTATGCCAATTACTATAGTCAAGGTTGGAGAATGGTGTGTACACTTCGGAAAGCTAATATAGTCCATTGTTGTAACTTAACAACTTCTGAAGAAATCGCTTGTTGCCTTGAATGACACTGACAGCTATTGTAGTTCTCTTCCACTGCTCCGTTTATTTTTCAAAGGGGAACAAAAACGACTGTCTTCAATTTTTTTGCTTTTGCTGGTTTCTAAACAATGTGGAGCCTGAGAAAATAAATACGCAGCCTGGATCCTAAGCATTGCCAGGGATGGGCCCTAGAAATCTTTGGATTTGTGTTCTGTTGCCCCCCGTTACTAGCTTGTGTAGGTCAGTCTGACTGTCATGTTTTGCTTGGTATATCAAATGTTTTCTGTTACTTCATTTCCCTGCAACCGACTGTTGGGTTTTGCGTCCCCATCTCTTTTCTCACTTCCTGGACTGTTTGCTTTTCCCCCTCTGCTTACTTCTTTTTTTTAAAAAACTTTTCTACCGGAAGGTTGTTCAAATGTGAAAGGTTCAACCACCTGGTGTCAACTTTTGATGTTTGGTCAATGCCAAACGGTTGGCCAGTGATAAAACTTTACAACCCGGACTGTGTCAAGAGCAAATAAATACACTAAGAGAGTGACATGCAGGTCAAAATGACTATCCAGAAAGGTGTGTTCCCACACAGAAGTTGCTTTCAAAGAGATAGATAGATAGATAGATAGATAGATAGATAGATAGATAGATAGATAGATAGATAGAGAGAGAGAGAGAGAGAGAGAGAGAGAGAGAGAGAGACAGACAGACAGACAGACAGACAGACAGAGAGGGAGGGAGGGAGGGAGGGAGAGAGAGAGCTGTGCAAGAGCACAGGTTGGATCCTCGTCTGGCTGCAAGAGAACTCAAGGGGAAGGTATGAGACTGCTAAGAAAGCAAACACAGAGAAGGAAAGAACAAAAAAGAGAGATAAACCTCATCTTTTGATATACAAGTTGTGCCTCGCTTTATGATTGCCCCGCATTACGATGAAACCGCATTATGACGATCTTTTTGATCATTAGAGGAGGCCTCTCTGTCTCGTTTCCTTCCGATCTTTATCAGCACAAATTCCCATTTGGGATTCAGCTCATTCTCTTTTCCCACTCTACTATTTGTAGTAGGATGTGTCTATTGATTCACCCCCTTGTCCTCCCGCCCTCCTTTCACTGAATATACCAGCGAGGTTTGCTTACAGGGCAACCCACACCGATCGAAAATTTAGCTCATTGCTAATTAATTAAAGCTGTGTCTAGGAGAGGATTTGAACTTCTGTTGGTGAGGCTCGGAGTCCGTATCGGCCCTCGACTCTATGAAAACCAAGGGCGGTCTTTTCAGCCACTCTCCCCCCACTCCCTTTTCTCCTTCCTAGTCTGGCCTCCTTTGGAGATCGAGAGTTCTTGGGCGTACTATGGCATATGTATTATAACCAGGGGGAGGATTTCTATGACATGTCATTTTTTTTCTGCAACCTATGTTGGGGTTCATGGGTGGGTTTGAACATGTTTATGAGTCATCTGGTGAGAAAGGCCAGATGACTCATAAGCCTGTTTGAGCTTGCTTATGGGTTGAAACGTAGGCTGCAGAAAAAACGTGGCATGTCATAGAAATCCTCCCCCTAAGGAACAATATGTAATCTTTGTGTAGCTCTTTTAACATTTTGATGGTGCTGCCTGTGCAATTCTTGATGTCAGCATAGCAACATCCCATAAAGCAGTGTTCTTTTTATCATTTCCATGTACCTTCCCCCCCCCCCATTTTATAGTGGTCCAATTAAAGGAAAAAGATAGCTCCAGTCACCATATCTTTGATGGTTTGTCATACATTTCCTCGTGCATTTTGTCTTGGGGCAGCCCCCCCCCCGGGTTTTCCAAAGGATTAAAACCTTTTTGACATGACTTATTTACAAGCCCCGGCGATCTTCCCCAAACGGATTTGAACAAGTGTATAATTGGATAATTTGGCAATGAGTCAGCCGGACCCCGAGAGAGCTAGAATTACACTTTGCTGAGGAAGAAAAGTTCCTGCTTCATGTGGAATTGATTTGATTTCCTCTAGACGGCGAGCCCTCGCCGGCATCGTCAGGCGATAGAATGATTGCTCGGACTTTATACATTCAATACTGGTTAGGCCTCCTCTAGAGGACTGTGTCCAGTTTTGCTGCACTTTAAGAAGGATGCCGACAATGTGGAGCCGGTTCAGAGGAAGGCAACCAGGAGAATCAGGGGGCTAGAAACCAAGCCCTAGGAGGAAAGGCTGAAAGAACTGGACATGTTTAGCCTTGAGAAAAGAAGATTGAGGAGAGATAGGATAGCACTCTTCCAATCCTTGAAAGGCTGTTCTACAGAGGGGGGCAGGATCTGTTCTCCACCATCCCAGAGTACAGAACATATAATTATGGGCTCAGGATAGAAGAAGCCAGATTTTGGCTGACTATCAGGAAAAACGTCTTAACTGTTAGAGCAGTACAACAATGGAATCAATGACCTCGGGCGGTGGCGGGCACGCCAACCCCGCAGACGTTCAAGAGAAAATCGGACAACCATCTGCTTTGATTTGGATTCTAAAGCGACACCATAAAACCAATCTTAAATGACCAGGTCCCCCAAGAAAGGTATAATAAAACATTTGGGGTTTGTGTACAAACACACACACACACACACACACACACACACACACGGCAAAAATTAAAAAATGCAATTAAAAAAACAGAAAAAGAAAATCTGAACTGGCGTTAAAGTAGCCTAATACACAAGAGAGAGAGAGGGAAAATTCTGTAAAAGTAGGATTGCTAAGAATGGCTATGTTGGCATGGTTGTGCTATATACAAGATAATATGGAACAGGGTAGCCAAGTAATTGATTTTGAAGGGACAGCCACCTGCTTCCAGATGAACGGAAGAGAGGGAGCTTGGCACATGCAGGGAATTCAATAATGTTGTGGCCACCACTGAGAAGGCCCTGTTCCTGGCGGATGTTTTCAAGGCCGCCCTCCGGCTGGTCACCCCCCAGGAATACAGCCTACAATCCTGCAATTCACAGCAGGGAACCTGTCGGATGTTTTCAAGGCCTCCCTCCGGCTGGCCACCCCCAGGAATATGGCCTACAATCCTGCAATTCACAGCAGGGAAAGCAAACATCTTTTAATTCTTCAGGCAGCTCCATTTTTAATTGCAAAGCTGGTTTCTCCTCCTGTTCTTCCTGAACCACATCCCTAGTTCAAGATCTTGGGCAGGTGGCCTCCGGTCTGTTCAACCCTCATCTTAGTGCGGTCCTCAAAGAATATCCCTAGTTCGGGGACTTGGGCAGGTGGCCTCCGGTCTGTTCAGCCCTCATCTTAGTGCGGTCCTCAAAGAATAGACTTACGCCTTCTGGGGTTGTTGTGGAAACTGAGTACGGATGCTCAGCCAGTTCAGCATTTAGCCCCTACCCTCAGATCCTCATTAGACCTTCTGGCTCCCCCTGGTTTATCTTGCGTTTCTACTTCCCCACTTCGGGGACTTGGGCAGGTGGCCTCCGGTCTGTTCAGCCCTCATCTTAGTGCGGTCCTCAAAGAATAGACTTACGCCTTCTGGGGTTGTTGTGGAAACTGAGTACGGATGCTCAGCCAGTTCAGCATTTAGCCCCTACCCTCAGATCCTCATTAGACCTTCTGGCTCCCCCTGGTTTATCTTGCGTTTCTACTTCCCCACTTCAGTTGCTGTTCATTATTCACCAATGGCATTTTTCAGGGAGGAAGGGAAGGAGAGAAGGTTAAATAAAAAAAATCATCAAGATGAAACAAGTGCTGGATTTAGAGCATTGACATTTAACTCGACAAAATGGTAGGCACCGATAAAAATGTAAATGCGCAAGGAAATTTTTAAAAATACACTCCCTCCCTGCCTTCACTTGCACTTTCCCTGCTGGCTATATCATAACATTACATGATCTCTACCCTGGAGTAAAATTCCCACACAAATTACTACCATGGAGACACAGTAGTTACTGTTCAACGTGATTTCATCTCTCTGCTGTGCTGAATTTATTTTCCCCAAATCTGTTAGCTTCAAACAGTGTGAAAGAAGTATTCAAACGCTCTGTGGGTTGCGTGCCAAGTGGTCTGGCTGGAAAGGTGGAAGGAAGCCATGGAAAGGTGTTTAAAACCTGCAAGGGGGAAAGAAAAGAAGATTCGTGAGTAGAAAGGAGTAACGTTAGGACGAGTTCTACCTTGGATCATGAGGATTCTTCACTGATTTTGGCTCCATCTGAGAGTTACAGTGGGGAAAATAAATTGAGAAGTTCAGTGTGTTAGTCCCATCTCCTCTAGTCTGGCATCTTACACTTTCTTCCCGAGGAAAGAAACTTTCTCAAGAAACCAGGTTTCTCAGAGAGCGGAAGGAGTTCAGCTCAATGCAACCGTGGTTGCAGAAAATCAGTGTTCTGAATTACATGGAGGGCCTCCAACTCTGGAAGAGGGTTTGTCTTCAGAAGGAGCAAGCCAGGAACACTGATTTTGAAGGGACAGTCTCTCCACTTGAAATGTTAGTGTCAACTATGCAGGGGCATAGTGTGAAAGCTGGACAGTTAAGAAAGCTGACAGAAAGGGGGGAAATTGTTTGAAAAATGGTACTGGAGGAGACCTTTGCTGGAGGACATACCCTGGACTGCCAGAAAGGCAAGCAAGTGGGTCCAAGATCAATGGATTAATTTCACATGTG